GCAGTCCCATGGGGCTTCTTATACAAGAGGCCACATATGGTATGTGACCTTACAAAACATCTGTTTTAAAAAACTGATTTCAATTATTTCACCTGCTCTTCTTACAGATTCCACGGTCAGAGGAGCAGCCATTACTAACAAGAAGAGCGACTCCAGAGCTGGAACGTGACTTGAACTCTGGTGCCAGGGTCTTAAATGGACACATAATTTTTAAATTTAAAAAAAGTTTGTTTTTTTGAGACAGGGTTTCTCCATGTAGCCCCGACTGTTTTGGAACTCCCTCTGTAGACCAGGCTAGCCTCAGATTCAAAGAGCTACCTGCATTTGCCTCCCAAATGCTGGGATTAAAGGCATGTGCCACCATGGGCTGGCAACACATAACTTCATTATCTTTTTCTTCCCCTGATTCATTCATTTTCTCTCTCTCTCTCTCTCTCTCTCTCTCTCTCTCTCTCTCTCTCTCTCTCTGTGTGTGTGTGTGTGTGTGTGCGCGTGTGTGTGTGTACATGTTCATATGTAGGCATATATGCATGTCCGTACGGATGCTTGCGGCAGCTACAGATAGACACTGAGCATCTTCTTCAGTCACTCTCCATATTATGCTTTTGAGACAAGGTCTCATATGGAATCCAGAGCTCATCTATTGGCTAGGCTGACTGGCCAGTGAGCTCCAGGAATCCACCTGTTTCAGCCCTCCTTGAATCCAGCACTGGGGCTCCATCCCTGCATAGCAGAGCCTAGCTTTTTATGTGAGTTCTAGGGATCTGAATTTTAGGTCCTCACGCCTGTGTTCGGAGTATTTAACTGTTTGATCCAGCTCCCTGGTCTCTGGATGCATAGTTTATAGAAGGGGGTTGGTAACATGTATTAAAAGTTTCACTGTTTACTCTTCTGTTGTTAAGATAAAGACAAAGTCTCAAAGGCAGGTACCTGGAGGCAGGAACTGAAGCAGAGGCCTCAGAGGAGCTCTGCTCACTGGGCTGCTTCTCCAGGCTTGTTCAGCTTGCATTCCTGTATAACCCAGGACCACCTGCCCAGGGCTGGCACTGCCCACAGTGGACTGGGTCCTCCCATTTAACCATTAATAAGAAAAGATGCCCAACAACTTGTCCTCAGACGGATCTGATGACATTGTTTTTGGCTGTGGTTCCCTTCTTCTCAGGTGACCGTAGCTTGACAAAAAAAAACCTACCCAGCACTTAACCTATATGTTTATCTCATGACCTAATAAATTTGTAGCTTGGAATTTATGGGAAATTTATTTAAGGAAGTGAAAATTTAGAATATCCAGTTCAGGGTATAATAGCAAAACCACCATAAACACAGCTGACCATAAAATTAATTATATATGGTCATAGCATAAAATTCTACTAATAGCCACACATGTATGTTTGTATATACAAGGAAACATGTTCACAATATATTGATGTTTCCAAAAGCATAAATAAACTAGGCGCTGGGCTGTGGTGGTACACGCCTTTAATCCCAGCACTTGGGAGGCAGAGGCAGGCGAATTTCTGAGTTCGAGGCCAGCCTGGTCTACAGAGTGAGTTCCAGGACAGCCAGGGCTACACAGAGAAACCCTGTCTTGGGAAACCAAACAAAACAAAAATTAATAATTAATTTAAAAACAAACAAACAAACAAAAAAAAACTAGGCTGGGCATGGTGGCTGTAAACCCAGCCATTGGGAAGCATAAGCAGCAAGACCATTCAAGGACACTCTCAGTTGCAAACCAAGTTTGAGGCCCGTCTGAGGTACACGAGATCCTTTTCAAACAATCCACTACCACAACAAACATAAACTAAATAATCCTGTTTAGGAAATGCCTTCTCATGTGTTGTTGAGAGCTACACAGCAAACAAGGACTCCATACACAAGGCTCCATGCCAAGGGACTGCCAGAGAGTAACTCAGATCTGTGACCGAACTAGTGAGACACTGGACACAGCTGGACTGAAACATTCATAGGCCCACCCCCCAGGGTTGTGAATGTGGATGTCAATCGGTGGCGCTCAGGCAGAGTTCTCTAAGGTCTTGCAGGCTGAACCCCTCCCTGAGCATTATGAGAGCCGTGGGAGTTTCCCACAGACTTCCGGTGCTCCCTCCGTTTGGTAATTAGAATCAGGTGACTGCCATGGCTGACAATAGACTTGCAAGTTCTCCGGAATGTGTGAACGTGTAGAAACCAGCCCCAGATGCTTCCCCAGGAAACAAAAGCACGGGGTGAGGAAGGAGGTGTGGGGCTTCATACCACACCTATGAGAGCCTTGAAGCATAAACCATGCAGGCCTGCAGACGTTCAAACTGACCCCAAATTTACACACAAGCTTAAGAAGAAAGACAAGCTAACCTTCAGTGACCAGCTCTGAAAGTCAGTAGACTAGAGACTTGTATAGGTGTGGCCCACAGGGTGACTGTTCCAACCCCTTGGCCATCCAGACTCCAATAGACCACAGGTGTCACTTGCCTTCCCTCTTTCTACTTCTGTTTAGATTAGGCAGGAGACTATTTACAGAACACACACTCTCTCTGTCTCTGTCTCTCTGTTGAGGTCTGTACGGGCGGGCACACAGGTGACACTGTGTACCCCCTCAATGGTTCTTTACATTGCTTGCTTACATTATTTACTTCATTTACTGCGTGTGCATGTGTACGCACATGGTGTGGCCATCAGAGGACAAGTTGTAGGAGTCTGTTCTCTCCTTCCACCACGTAGGTCCCAGAAGTCAGGTTGGCAGGCCCGAGGGGAGGGAGATTGGAGTGGTTTGACCTGCTAATCAACCTCACCAGCTTCTCCTTTTTTGTTGTTGTTTTGGACCCAGGATCACACTAAGCCTGGCTGGCCCTGAACTCAGAGTCACCTGTCTCCACCTCCCAAGTGCTGGAGTTTAGAGGGTTATCACCACGTCCTTCATTTTATTTTTTTGAGATCAATTCCCTAAGTGAACTTGGGGCTCACTGGCTAGATTATGTACCTCCCACAGCAGTTACAAACCTCTCTGTGAGCCTGGAAATTCTGGACTCAGGTCCTCAAATATACCACAGCCAACACCTAGCACTGAGTCCAGTCCCTGCCCCCTTTTAATTTATAATTAAAAGAGTCTTCTGTGGAAAAACCTTCAAGCTGCACCTTCTTCGCTGTGGTAGGTTAACTTCTAATTCCCTTGCAAAGAACAGGTTGTTTAAGTCTGGAGAAAACCAGGACAAACTTCCCCAAACCTCAGCTCCCCTCTCACAAATAGGAAAGGGTTTTTCCTCCTTTTGGATCCAGATGAGACTTCATCTACTTTTGTAACCTTATGGTGTGGCAGAGGACCAAGCCCCAAAGCAGGCACTAGATAAATTTTGGCAAAATGAATGTTTAAAATTAAATCCCCACTGTCTATGGTGGCGGAAGCCTTTAGTCCCAGGACTAGGGAGGAAGAGGCAGGCCTCTCACAGCCTCTGTAAGGCCTTACTGAGGATGCGTCGCCCTTCTTTTGGCATCCCAGGGCACTGTACGCATGCCATGTACAAACAAAACACACAAACAAAAAGAAATCAGACATGCAGAGGGTGATCAGATGTCCCGAAGAAGGAATTATTTTTCACACATGGTTCAGAGTTTGGAGCTCTTGTGAGCTGGTAGCTAATAAAGAGTGAGCTAGAGGCAATGCTAAGATATGGTGAAAGCCAGAACCGTACTCTCCCAAGGGCAGCCTGACTGTGATCTTTTGGAGAGAGTAGGTTCAGCCAGATGGCAGAACACATGGTACCCTAACCTTCTGGCATTGTCGGTAACAATGTCCTCTACGTTAATCACCTCTTAGGCACGCAGAAGACACAAACATCGTAGGGCGCATGAGCCTAGGCTCTTGAATCTCACTGTCGCATCATGTTTTGAAGTGTAGTACCACTGAGATCTTCTGAATCCAAGAACACTGGAAATCAGAATAGCACTTTGTCCTTAAAATTGCTGAGAGAATGAAGTGAGATGACGTAAGCAAACGTCTAGCATCAGGCCGGGAGCAGATAAAGCACTCATAATGAATGTGGACAGGCTTGCCTGTTCTAGGGCCAACTTAATTCTGGATGGCAAAGGCTTTATAGATGTGTCTACATGCGCGCGCGCGCGCACACACACACACACACACACACATATACATATGTACCTACACATATATATTCATATATTCTGAATCACAATTAGGAGCTAATGAAATGTTTCCTTGAGATGGGGGTTTTGCTATGTAGTTCAAACTGACCTCAAAACTGAGAAGCTAGGATTACAGGCCCGAGTGAGGCAAGACACCTGGCACATTTACCCCCCAGGATTACTCAAGAGAAATTAGTGTTCACCTTTGAAATGTTGACTCTAGGATACATATTTTCTTTTTTTCTTAAACAAAAGATATCTCTCCTTTCTTTCCTGAACCTACTGTCATTCTTGGGCGGTATCTTTTCTCTAGTTTTCCCACTTTCCAAACGAGGCCAAAAAAATGTGTAAGGGACCAGCCAGCGCTGTGTATAGAAAAAGCAGGCCCTGATGGTAGTGACTGCCTCAGGTACAGAGAAAAAGTGAAGTTAGATCAGAGGGGACGTGAAAAAGGAAGCCGGTCATGTGCAGAATGGTTGCTGGGCTCTGGGTGCGGTGAACATGACCCATGGCAGCCTCTGGGGCGGCCCAGGGACTGCACGACAGAAAGGGGCAGGAACAAAGACAGGGCGCTGCGCAGAGGTCTGGTCACGGAAGCAAAGTACTGGCTCCGCGGCTAGAGGCCAACAGAAGAGCAGCTGCCCTCCGCCAGCCCGCGGGGTAAGCCCGGCAGCAGGGCTCCCGAAGCTGGGCAGTTATTCCCGACATGCTCCTCCCGCAGGATTTCAAACCACGACAACAGCCAGCCACTCCGCACTCCCTCCGGCCTGCCCCAGCAACAGGCGGCGTCCGGCGTCTCATTGGCCACGGCACGCGCTGCTGTGTCCTCATTGGCTACACAGCCTCCGGTCCTCTTCCGCGCTTGCAGCGGCCTCCATTTTGTCGGCATAAGCAGTAGGAGGTTGGTCCTAGACGGAGTGGTGATCCGTGACTTGTTCGTGGGCTGTTTGATCCGTGCATCGTTTCTCCCTGGAGAGGGAAGGAAGCTTGGAGGTTGAGAGGGAGCCGCCGCCGCCGCCCGAACTCGAAGTCGGTGAGTGTGGCGGGGACGGCCATGTTGGCCACCGCGGGCACCATTGTTGGGCCTGGCTGGAGAGGAAGCAAGGCCGGTCGGGCGCGACTCCCTGGAGCTGAGCCGCGGGCTGAGGCGGCGAGCTTCCAGGTTCGCTGTGCGGGTGACGGGGAGTGCGGTCCTTCTGACTTAATAAAATTGGAGGAAGGCCTTCTTAGCCTTGAGAGTGTTTGCTAATTTGACTAATTAGAATACTGAGAAACCGTTCTAGATACGTGATGTTTATAAATATAAGGTTATTATGGTTTGTGAAAAATTACGGTACGAGTACCGGAGTCATAAGCGAAAGCACGATGCACGTTGTTGGGAACAGAACCTTGGTGTGGAAATGGCTGTGTGGGTTGGAAGCGTTAAATATGGATGGAACTTTAGTTTTACTTTAGTACGTGTAGGAGTTGCAGGTAAGTCTTCCCCTAAAGTCCCTAGGAGTTGTAGGCTGACATTTATGAGGTTAAAGAAAGTCGTGGTCTCCTACATCCATGAAGCTTTGAGGAAGGAGCAACAGCCATTTCTGTAGCATGTCTAAGCGATCACTTCGGGGTTGTTTTCAGTAATTATCTTTGCTTTTCTAGCTAGGACTTCTCTCAAACTTGTGTGCTGAGGAGACTCGATGTGGGCCTCAGCTCCTAGGCTGAAATCAGCAGATTGGCTCATGAAAACTTGTGTACTGAGACAAAGGAAAGGATCTAGCAGAAAGCAGCGTCTCTTATCCTGGGCTTGGCAGCAAGGAAGAGGACAAGTAGTGGAAATCCTGCAATCTGAAAAGCAGACTGAAAGGTACAAATATTTGCATCATAGTGGGGCCAGTTATCTTAGGATTGAAGCAATTCTAAACTATTAAGGTCAGTGGCCCTGCACCCTGGTGGTGTAGAATTATGTGCCTGTAATTCCAGCACTCCAGAGTTTGGGGCAAGACTGCTAAAAGTTGGAAGCAAGTCTGGTGGTAAAGGAGACCCCACCAGACAAGGGTGGATTTAGGGGTGTGGGCTTATTTTTTTTTAGGTTGTACAAAGAAAGAATAAGCCTGCTCTAATTTTTTTCTCATTTCGATTTCACAAACTGGTATTTGGCTCAGGACTAGTTTTTTTGAGGTAGACGGTTTTGCAGGTGAGCATGTCTAACCCCATCTTGTCATATTTTATTCAACATTTCTAGAACTGGAGCTATGGAAACTTCAAAAGGGACATGTGAAGTATAACTATTGTTTACATGCATTTACTTATAGGTGACAAAGCAGCTGAAGATGGGTGGCGGAGAGAGGTATAACATTCCAGACCCTCAATCTAGAAATGCTAGTAAGAACCAACAACAGCACAATAGACAGAAGACCAAGGATCAGAATTCCCAGATGAAGATTGTCCATAAGAAAAAGGAAAGAGGACATGGGTACAATCCATCGGCAGCAGCATGGCAGGCCATGCAAAATGGGGGAAAACCCAAGAGCCTTTCTAACAGCTCCAACTGGAATGCTAGCTTATCAAGTCCTAGCTTGCTGTTTAAGTCTCAAGCTAGTCAGAACTATGCTGGAGCCAAATTTAGTGAACCACCATCACCAAGTGTTCTCCCCAAGCCACCAAGCCATTGGGTTCATGTTTCCTTGAACCCTTCAGATAAGGAAACAATGACATTTCAACTTAAAACCTTACTTAAAGTACAGGTATAAAGTTAGATAAGTACTAATTTTAAATTTTGTGATGTTTACACATAGCCAAAAGTAGGTTTGATATTTTGTGAGAAGCTGATACTATGTTATGTATACACTATATTGTTATAGTGTCAATGCAATTTAAACAGTTTCAATGGCTATAATCAATTCTACTTGGTAGTGTTGCTAACTAAATTCAAGTTTAGAGGAACTTAACTTTTTTATTGTTTGATGGGAAAACTAAGATTTATGGGTTAATGCACATTTTCTCAAGAAATTACACAAGAAATGAGATGAAATTTAGCCAAGATGCACAGTTCAGTTCCATGGTCTAGGGTCACCCAAACTATCTCGGGCATTAAATAGCTGCTTAAGTTCCACAGTGGTAAATGTGTAAAGGGCAGGTGGAGCTCATTAGAATGAGGCCAAGTACATGGCCCAGCGGTCATTTCTTAAATGCAGTGGATAAGCATTTACCCAGAGATAGACCAAATCTTTTCCAAAAATAGTGCTGAATAGCTTCCTAAGAACATTTTCCTATGCAGCAGCATCTCATGGAAGCTGCTAAAGTGATGTGGCTTCACCTGTACAAAGCTTGCTTCAAGTAGGGAGTTGTGTTCAACATTTAGCCATGTAAATACATGTAATAAGCTTGTAACATATGTAATGTTTTCTTGGCCTTTATTCTTCAAAATAAGACTATTTTTAATGTGAATTTGCCGAATGTAAGACCATGAACTGTCTTTTTAATCTTATGGCCTAATTTTAAAGGTCTCCAGTTTTTAAAAGGTTGCCCTTGTGCTTAAGTGCCAGTGAATCAATGTAACTGTATGCTTGTGAACTATACAAAGAAAATCTGTTGTATTAAGTTTTTATAGTTGAGCTACAAAGACATTTCCTGTTTTTTGTTTTTGTTTTTAAAGCGATAGAAGATGTAGTACAAGACTTTGTCTCCAACCTTTTTAAACCCAAAGACACATTTTGGCTTTATCAATCCTAAGTAACCCCTGATTATGTGCAACCCTTCATTTATGCAAAAAGAAAAGTCTCATGTGATTATACCAAATTACTTTTTCAATCTTTATGAACAAAAAGAGCTAAATTTTGTTTTCTCAATTAAGTTCAGAGCAGACATCGTCCAGATCAAACATTGAGTATCCATCCTAAGGGACAAGTTCATAAAATTATGTGACTTTGAAAGATGAAATTTATAAATAAACCTTTTCTCCTTAGAACGTTTCTATGTGATCTATAGCTGTCTACTTGGGATGACTGATGCTACTACTTTGCTTGCTGTTTGAGACAGGACGCACTAGCTAGAATGCTGAGATTGACAATGTGCCCAGCTAAACTAAACCTTTGTGTTAATGGGGAAAAACTTGTGGAAGCTTCACTGTTCAGTAAAACAGTTTAATTAAAAATTTAAGCATTTTATGACTATTAACGCAAACCAGCAAAAAAAAAAAATCTTGTATATAGGCAGATGTGAGCCAGCCTTGTTTATACAGAGAGCTCCAGAACAGTAAGTGCTTCAGAGTCCTGGTCTCAAAACCAGAAAGTGTAATCACTGGCTTTTGCGTACTTGCTTTCTAGTGGATTTCCCACTCAGGCAGTTTAAACACCCCCACCTGCAGAGAGAAGGATGGATTATCAAGGCCTTCATGTAATTCATGAAACTAAAGTTATTTTTTTGTGCCTCTGGCCTATACATTTGGTTTTTTATGTATGCATTAGCATGCAGCAATATGCCTGGATTTCTAGTTTTGGACTAAGATGTTTGCTGATTTTATAAACATTTCATGAGACACTAATAAAGCATAGCTGTAAGCCCACTGTTTAGGAGGCAAAGAATGAAGAAAAAAGTAGCCAAGACTGGCATGGTGGTACACTGACTTTGAGGCTAGCATGGTATATAAATCAAGTACCAGGACAGCCAGGGCTATTTACAGAGAAGCCCTGCCTGGCAGCCTTCAATTGGTATGGTTGCATGAGTTTCTAGACAGTTAGTATTCCTGCCAAAGTCATAAAGTATGGCAGAACCCACTAAACGAGTTGCTGAAGGCAACCATACTGTGTTAGCTTTCTATGTATTTTGGTGGCAGTGTGTAGTATGATAGACTGACTTTACTTTAAATCTTAAACACAAGGATTTCAAATGGTTTTAAGTTGTGCAGCTTCCCATGCCCTCCCCCTCATATTTTCAGAGTCAGTGATTCTAAATCAAGGAATACATTTCTAAAAGTCAAGAAACAAATGTCTACTTGGGTAGTTATACCTGTAAGGTACAACAAAGTCTACAGAAAAACCAAGATTTTTTTTTAAAGCTCCTAGACCATTTTATTTTACTCTCCAACATTCAAAGAAATGTGATCTGAAAAAACAAAACCTGGATTACAAAGGCCTTTTACTTCTTTACAAACTACTATTACTAATAAAAATGTACATGCCTCAAGTTTTTATCCCCCCCCCTGCACACAAAAAACCCTCAACGACAAAAAAAAAAAAAAACAACCCAGGAACTACAGTTTTAACACACGGTGAATGGTGAACCAGCTTTACAAATACAAACATTAATAACTAACAGGATTGGAGGGACAGGAAAACACCCAAGAGAGAAGAGTCTTCTGCAACAATGAATAGAATATCATTGAATTGAATATCAGTTGAAGACAAGTAAGTTGTTTAATTTTTCTGATACCTGGCTATTGTTGAAGTTACAGTCTTTAATTTCAGTATTTGTGGAGAAAAAAAAAAAACAAAACATGGTAAAAAAGTACAATGAAGATCCAAAAGGAACTGAAGTTTGGAAGCCAGCTGAAGACTGGAGCTTCAACAGCCTATATGTAATCTTGGAATGCACTTAAAATCTACTTTGAACTTCGTAAAGTTAGAAGTATGTATGTAAAAATTCCTATCCACATGGTGAGTATTCCACAGAAGACAACTTTCTTATTTGAAAAACAGGATTAAGTATTCATTTCCTGTGAGTAATTTTTAAGGTTAAGTACAAGTATCTGGAAAACATACAACTTGGAACAGCAAGTGCTGAGTAGTACTGACAGCCTTTTATATCCATGGAAACCACAACAGACAAGACTGAAAACAATCTACTCTAACTTAACAGCTACCTCAAACCACAGGGGCCCTTTCTAACTCACTACACTCAAAACTCAAGAGCTGTCAATTACTGTTACTGTATTTATAAATGAACAGGGATATTTTCCATCATAGAAAACCACTCCCCAAAGAAAAAAAACCAAAAAGTAAATAGAAACAATGTATTCAATTTTAAAAACTAAACAAAAACCTCATCTGAACACACAATTCTCTCCTCTGGAAGGCCTTATGCTCAATTTAAAAGGAAATTGAAGGGAAGCAGAGGACAGAACACTGTAGCGTAGAACTGCACAGATACTCATAAATACACAGAACCTCTACCTTTAAGACCAATCCAGTGCTGATTATGTAAATAGTATAATATACTTAGTAATTTATAATCTTGAAATAAATGCTAAATTCAGTTTTTATCAATTTTTATTGTGTCCTTGAAAATAAAACTTTAAAAAGCATTTCCAACTTGATTCAAAATAAAAACAGCAACAAAAATGAAGCCAAAATTTATAATTCTCACCTGGTACCTGCTGCGTTTTTGAGTTTGGGCAGGCTGAAAAAAGTTAAAAAACAAAACATCCCCCCCCAATAAACTTCATTTTACCACTCCCTTCATTTCTGTGTAATCCTACTACATTTTAAAAAATGGTCAAAGGGTTAACACTGTTTCCAGATTTCAGATTTTGACAGTTTTAAATATGTGGCAAAAAATACAACAACAACAAAAAAAAAACCCCGAATGTGATGGAATTAATGTTAGGATAAACAAGCTTCATATCCTGATAAGGAACTAAGGAATCCAAAACATTTGTGACACTATAAAGTTATTTATTAACTATACACAGAATATGTCCCCTATAAAATGTACAAGTAGATCACTAGAAAGTCTTATCTGGTAAACACTTTCTTCAATACAGAATATACTAAGTCCATTGGGATAACAGCTGTCTGCCTCAAAGTAATCTAACTATAGCACCCAGGGTCTGCTTTAATGTAAAGTTAAATACTTGTTATTTTGGGGATTACCTATTTGTTTGACATAGCCAAGAATTAACAACTTAATCTTACTCTAGTATATTAATCACTGCACAATAGATCAGCTTATCACAGGTTTTCTTCATTATTTGTAGTAATGGGATACAACAAATACTACTTTTAAATGGCAGACTATCATAAAATTACTTTTCTTTGATAGCATATTGGGTTTTATAATTACACTAGGATATGAACGGTATAAAATATTACCATAATACACCTCAAAATAATGAGGTCATACTGTAATGATTCACTAGATTGTGCTCAGTAGGTTTTACTAAATAACCTGTTCTCCTCTCCCAAGTATCCAGTATGTTTTGCCCACAGTAAGGGTTCAATAAATATCTGTTGAACATACTGTCTACACAAGAGGTGAGAAGAGATGGGCCCTCATGAGTGAGTATCAAGTATAAGTGGAATTAGCCTGTGAAGGAGTGGTTAGATGTAAACTGTATGTAGTATACAAGTAAATAAACTCAGATGCCAACAAAACAGTTAAGCAGAAAAATACTGGCACTGGAATAAACAAAGGCAAGACTTGCCAACATTGGCATTAAGTGGAACTGACTTTTAAGAGATAACTAGGAAAAACTTTATATTGGACCATACCTTTACCATCCAATTTAATTTGAGACAGACCAAGAGAGGCACTGTTAGAGACTATGGCTGTCTTCCTTGATATTCAGACATCCTAGTTTCCAGTAACTTATCATGGTTTGGCTACCCATGAGCCATTATAAACCTGTTCATATTTAGGGATTAGTTTCCACAAGTACAAAGTTGAATTTCCTTTTATTTGTCCTAAAATGCTTACTTTCAAACTTGAAGGGACTTCAATTATTCCATGTAGTTTTCGATAATTCTTTTATCTTTTCAGACCAGAGTCAAAATATTCGTACAGTATTCATACTGCAGCACCTTCCACCCACCCTTTGGTCGCTTGAACTGCCCTTCTTTGGTTCTTTTTTCCGCTTTCAGATCTTTCTTGAAGTGTAGTAAGCAGAACTGTACTGGGTATTCCAGCTGCAGTTTGGTCTTAAATAAAAGAAGGATGTTTGTCAGTTTGGTTTTCTCTTTATTCTTCTCTGTGGTATACAGGATTTTGTTAGTTGAACTGGATGTAGCAGCTTACTGGGCCAAAATTTCAAGAGAATAGTACAGTAGTTCCCAGGTCTTTTCCCTAGTTTGTAACTTAACAGCTCAAATTCTATGTAGCACCTGTCCTTTCTCACTGAAGCATTTATTATCTCTCACTTTTCTTCTTGCTTACTTGGCTTATTAAAAAACAAACAAACAAATTTCTTAAGTATAAAGAGAAGCGAAGTGTCAGCCTTTACTTGAATCTTGACATGACTATCCTATTCAACAGAGCCCACTGCTATGCACAGAGGAGGGTCTTACCGACTGTAAGATCGGTATAGACCGACTGTACAATCGAAATGTAGCTTAAAAATGTAAAAATCCTCACCTGGTATCATTAGAATTCTACTATGAGTGCAACTGTATATTGTCCTTGTGAAGCTATGTTGGGCACACCACTTCATAAATATGTAAGCTTCTTAAGTTAACAGTCTGAGTGTAAAAAACAAACCAGCACCAGGTCCTCTAGTTCTACAGAGACTGAGCATGATTTTATTGAGCTACCTCTTCAACTACTGCTTCTTTTTTTTTTAAAAAAAAAAGTGAGGATCAAATCTGGGCTCAAATCTTGACTCTGCCATTAAGAGCTTTTTCTCTGGTATGTGGGGGAAATACTCCTTTAAGGGTGTTGTGAAGAGTGAATGAATCAACAGAGTCTCTTGAACAATGTCTGGCACAGTATAGATAATGAATTACCAGCTATAACTGTTACTGCAAAATAGCTAGCATTCAATCCAAAAAACGACACCAAAACCACCCTCCAAGAAGTGGTTATTTAAATGGTCACCAACATACAATGAAATTTAAAGAATTTAAACCCAGTATGTCTTGTTCAGGAAGGGGAAGGAGCCATATTCTTTGTAATAATGAAAATATAAATTTATAGTTAGCTTGCCCAAATTTTCATTTTAATGTTTACTTATACTACTAAATAACCTCTTATGTTATTTAACCCAAGAGGCTTAATAAATCACGATATGATTTTGGCATAAGAAAATTTCTTAAGTACTATGTAAAAGATGTAGATTCTGGCAAGTTCTATCATTCCCAGAGTAGGGGAGTTGTGCCTAATGTCAGACTGATTAACATACTCCTAAAGCTACACAGGATTAGTTCCATTATTTTAGACTCATTCAGAACTATAATAATTCCAGTTAATCATTATTTCCTTCATTTTGTTTTTATTATAGCATCTTTGCTTAATTTACAGCAAGCAGAAAATAAGCTGGGTCTTGTTTTGATTCAAACATTGATGTTTTAAAGGTTGTACACAATATTTGTTAAAAAGAACATATAAAAATACCTTTTTAGAAGCTTCTATAAGAAAGAAAATACAAAGTTTAACCCCACAACTTTCCTCTTTGCTAGAACTGCAAACTACCGCTACAGTTTTAAATAGACTTTGTTGTTTAAACTATACATCCAGGAAAATCTAAAAAATTAAAGAAACGTGCATATAAATGATTGCATAGCAGAACAAGAACATTAACTGCAAACAGTAAAGAAACAAAAGTTAGAAATACTATTAAATATACAAAGGTTCTAGAATTAACCCTCCAAACACATTCCACAAACAGTTCTTAAAACCATCTTTTGTCTACAAGCAAGGACTAGATTTCTAAAAAACAAAATTGAAAGGAAAAATAAGGTAGTCCTCTAGGAGGATCATCCCCCACAGTTTCTTCACTCACATCTGTAAGCAAGGAGTCTAAGATCTTAGAGACGCTAGCTTTGTATTCTGAAATGACACCGGACATTTCAAGTCACTTTATTGCCTCCAAAACAATCTTGAAGAGAAGTACTAGAAATTATAAATATTTAAGGGTACCATTTCGTTATTTTTTTATCCATGTCCTACATTACCAAAAAACTAAGTGATGTGGCTTTTGCTTAAAACTCAACTTTTTCCAAAAATTCACGGCACCACAAATCACCTCGGAGTGATCTTCTCAGCTTGCCTCACATGAATAAACTGAGGTGTAAAGAGCAAGCCTCCCTATGGACAGGCAGACTTTGATACAAACGCACATGTCAAGTGCTGTGAGCATCAAAATTCAGTCTGTTTTACACTATGCATATAAACAAAATGTACTTTCAAACAGTTTACTTGTTTCTAACAGAAAAAACAAACAACAAAACAAAACCCCTAAATAACAATGATCAACAAGAGTTAAATTTTAGAGAAACTATGCTAAGAACAGTCTTTTCCCCTTAAAATGATTTCTGTGATCATCGACACACTCAAAACTTAAAGGGAACTTTTTTTCCCCTTATGCTTTAATGTTCCAAATCATAGAAACCAGCAGGGATTTAGGTGGGGGGAAAGCAGTGAAGGCTCCATGTTTCAGTGAAAAGGTCAATCTCCCTGAAAACGCTATTTAACCCAGCTGGCATCAACCCCCAGACAGTGGAGTTAACAAAAGAACTATTCCACACTGCATAAATAATCATCACGGGCTTAGACACCTTGACAAGACATAAAGGTCCACCCTGAACCTAAATGTGTCTGAGCAGTCAGTGTTGTAATGTGGCTACCACTTCACTTTTGTATCATTCTATCTTATCAGCAAGCTACATTTCTAGGTTAACAGTTCTACCAAATATGGATATGAAAATTTATTTTTAATAAGACAATGTTGCAAATTATGGTCACCAACATCTTTTCACCAAATACTTCAAGCATAAAAAATGAGAGTCTTTACAAAAATATACAGAGACACCACAAATTGGTAGCTGCCCATAACATTAAACAAACTGGACTCTTAAGAGTGGCTTCTCAACAGCATATCATTTTAATTATAACCATTGCCCAGTACAGGGAAAGCTAACAAGTTAAGTTTGTTTGTTTGTTTTTAAACGCATCATTGCAACATTGTATTCCTGATAATTTAAGTATACCAAACTATGAGTAAATGAATGATACATGCCTAGAAGTATCATGATTTATACTATCAGTGGCCACTGGACTTGGGACTAGTCCAAGACCTTGACCTAGATTTTGACCTAGACCTAGACTGTGATCTTGACTGAGATTTGGATCTAGGTGGTTCTTTTTTCCTTGATTCCTTTTCATATCTTGAGCCAGACTTATAATGTGTTTTGGAATCTGTTTTAGAGGTGCCTCTAGTTTTGGTGTGAGATGCAGACCTAGAACGTGATTTAGCCTTCATTTCTTTCTTGGGCTGGGACTTGGACCGTGATCTTGAATTGGATTTAGATCTTGAAAAAGATCGATTTCGGTGTTTGAATCTTTCAAAACAGAGGAGAGATACAATTAGAGTAAAAATTAGATTCTATATTAATCAAATCTGTTACTTTTAGAGCAAAAGTTCACTCTGAAATTGAAAACAAAAAACAAAAAACCATTAGTTGTTTTCAAAGCAAAATTATTTACCTATCATTGTCGGAATGGCTTCGGCTACGCCGTGGTCTTCCAGTCGGTCTACTGCTAAAAAGCATACCAGAAAAGTAAACAGTGACAAATGTCTATTTATAGTCTTAATTTTTAAACAAAGCACCACAAATAACTCTAGCCTTAATGAAACATCCAAGATACACAATTAAAAATAAGAAAAAGCATAAAAAAAACCCATTAGCAAATATCTCTTTTAAAGATAGGGCCTAACAACACACTTTATTGTTTAAGTAAGTGAGCTTAGAACTCCTGAGCTAGTGTGGTCCTCCCACCTCAGTCTTCTGAGTGGCTGGGATTATAGGTTAATCTCATCATACTTGGCTACAAACATTAAACAGATCACTGTGTACCACACTTACTTTCTAGGACTGTAGGATCTCCTATAGTTATAATCAAAGGAACGACTCCTTGATCTCCTCCTTTCATAACTTCGGCTTCGAGAACGTCTATATCGGTCATAATCATCATATCGTGAAGAGCTGTATACATTCCTCCCTTCCTTGGCTTTCATTTGATTTGGTGCTAGGGAATAGAATAGAAATACTTTTAAAAACATTTAAAACCTTAGCATCTAAACCCTCACACTAGAGTAACATTCCTGCATTCTTCCTCTAAAAGATTTGTATTTTATGTTCACGGGTGATATGCTTGCATGTATGTCTGTGCACCATAAGTATATGTTGCCCAGAGTCCAGAAGGCTGTTAGTACCATGTGGATGCTGGAAATCAAACCTGGTTCTCTAGAAGCAGTTAGTTCCCTTAGCTGAGCCATCTTCCCAGCCCTGTTTCTGAGAAAAAAAATATTATACAGGTCTGGCTGGCCTCAAACTCTTGAATGTTGAGATTAAAAGCGTTATGTCACGATACCTGGCTCATTCCTGCATTCTTCATCTTGTACTATGGAAGTAAATGTGTTTTGTAACTCAAGATATGCCTTTGTTTTGGTGTAAGAAGCATAACTAGAATGTGATTATTAACCTTTATTTTCAAAATGTGTATTAAAAGACAGTGTTTAATGTTAAAAACTAGCACTAATAAATCACTGGCTTTTTTCAATGTCTTCTCACAATTATTTTGCTCATCAACACGTTAGCTACTTTTGACTCGAGGAACTGATACAAGAGTACATAAAATGCAAGATTTGGCCTATAAAAATATGTAACACCAAAATGCAGTAAAGTGGACCTATGCAGCTCTGAGAATCAATGCATAGAAAAACTGAAAGGAGCTAACACTGATTTAATGACTCTTCAATAGCCACGTTAACTTGTCTTTTAGTAGTATCTAGCTAATCTATCAGCTGAGTCAGAACTGAAAGCCAGGTCTACTTGACTCAAGTCTATATAGTCCTGAAGTTATAAGCAAGCAGCTAACAAATGATGTATACCTGTGTAACAAGAGCCAAGTGTTAATTTTTTTTTTTTTTTTTGTTTTTTGAGACAGGGTTTCTCTGTGTAGCCCTGGCTGTCCTGGAGCTCACTCTGTAGACCAGGCTGTCCTCGAACTCAGAAATCCGCCTGCCTCTGCCTCCCAAGTGCTGGGATTAAAGGCGTGCGCCACCACCACCCGGCCCCAAGTGTTAATATAAGATCTAGTCCAGGTTTAATCTAGATAGCCTTTCCAATCTATTCCTATGAATTTACTTTCATAGTCATGCACCTACACAACTACTCAATCAATTTTTAAGCTCTTTGAGAGATTTAGAGAGGAAAAAAAAAAACTGAAGTCTAAAAAGCAACATACTGCACACATTAGGCATACGGGCACTTATACTTACTCTTCCGATCCCCCTGTGCAAACTGTATTTCGATTTGTCGTCCACAAATCCATTTTCTGTCCAAATTATGTAAAGCATCTTCGGCATCACGAACATCCTCAAATGTGCTAAATGTTAAGGGGCTTGAGAAGTTTTGTAAACTTTGATAATGAATGGTTTGTGAAGCCTGAAACAACTCATAATCTCTCAATATTGCTCATCTAAACCCTTTTTATTTGGTTGACTCAGCCATTAATACCACAGGCATTTTTTTCTATGGTATACAGTTCCAAGACACACATGTAAATACGTGTCATAATAAGATCTACTTTAACTGAGCTACCAAGGTACACTATAAAAAACTTCCCCATGTACTAAGAATTAACTTGATAAAATAGAAAAACAAATCAGCCAATTCTGTTGGATACCAAAAAATTTCTTATAATAAAACCAAAATACGATTTTCACATTTATTCCAAAATTTAAAAATCGCAGTTATTCTTAAGTAAGCAAGCAAAGTATGCTTTAAAAGAGAGGAAAACATTAACTTAAATGTTCATATACAATATTATTTCATGGAATTGTCTTCCTTGCACACTGCACAAGATAGACATGCTAATCATTTATAGGCATTAAGTCAGAATCAAGCAATACACTCAGTAACTATGCCAAATGCACATGACACCCATGCAGACTGTAAAAGCACACTATCAAGTGTCAAAGGGACTCCTAGATTAAAAAGGCCTAACTCTGACACTAAGTATGCAGCTTCCAAAGAAGAGCATGTCAGGCTGGTTTCCCATTTGAGTCATGGCAGCATTTCCCTGCATTAAGAGGAAAAACTGTTGGCCCTCAATTTTCACCTGAGAAACTAAGCTGCCTTGTAGCTCTCCCCCTATGTCAGCAACAGAACCCCTAGGCTGACAGTTGTTTTGTCTAAGCACATCTTTTCTAAACACATCATTCGAATGGGAGACAAGTACACTCAAGACCATGACTGAAAAAAATTGACTTTTGTAAACTATTTTTACTACATTCTAAAAACTGTCACTCTAAGCACATCTAGTTCAATGTCTCAGAACACTGGAAATGTAGATTTGAAGCACCAATTAAGAAAATACCTCCAAAGTGACACATTCCTTTTAAGGCTGACATATTTGGTCCATAGATAAATGAACAGTCTACCTCAGCCTATCACTAGACTTCTACTTTTTATCCAAGCAAAATTAAGGGCCATAGGCCTCAAGCTCTCTTTCTGAGGCCAGGAGGTGTAGGTTAAACAGGAGAGATTTTCTAAAGTCTGAAATAACCATGCTTTCAACTTTTGTAAAACAGCCGATAGTTTAGAACCTTGAATGTTGTAAATAAACATTTCTCAAGGTTACTATACTTAGGTGCTAAACAGGCATCAGTTCACTTAATGTACATTGTACTACTTTGTTACCCCAAGACACAGTACGGTTTCAGAATGATTTACATTAAGAGCTACAAAGATTATGAATATAGGCAGAGCATTCTTGGGTGCTATTTTAAAAAATAGAATCTTGGCCTAGAGGACAAGGATCTATAATTCACCCACCTCTTAAGCCAAGGATAAGGAGAGAAGGCTAAACCAGGGAGAGTCATGGAAGATACAGTAGCATTAAGCGAAGCCAGGTACTGGTCACCAAGAAATCTTTGTGTTTCCAAAATGAAACTGGCAAACCTGTTAACTTGTACTGTTTATCACTACTCTGGATTGCTTGAGTAACCCAGTACTGTTCAAATACAACATACTCTTGAGGAAACTACTGCTAACACTGTTCCCAGGCCACCATAAACCACACAAACCCTGAATGTTATAAACCAGATTGGATCAATTTATGAAGCCAGATATGGACATTATCCTTTAAGTTTTACAACAAACCCACGAGGTTCTCCTGACCACTCACTGGCCCCATATGAGTAGCTTTTGGCTTTTCCCTCTAAGCTTCACTAGGAATTTATAAGGTCAGAGTTTCAAGAGAATGAATTTAAGCAATAGGAAAGTTTCCTAGGTTCAAATCCACAGCCTCAGACACCTCTACTCTCTAGGACAAGGAAATGATCACAGAAACACAATCTCCTGAAACTCTGGATCAAGGCTCATTCCCCATACACAATTAGGACCCATACCACGAAGGTGGTCTTCTGCAATCCGTGCAGAGCTAACTGATCTTCTGCCTGTGCTAAGCCATGCAGGGACAGCAGGATTCATAGAACCAGCAGCCATGTAGAAAGAACAGAAACAATCCAAAAAGAACTATTGCTACATATTTTTTGTGGTTCTACCTTAAAACATCCAGCTGTTTCTCTAAGTGGTCTCCAGTGCATGCACCTGTCTCCCCCTTACATAGGGCTCTGTAACTGGATTTTATTACCTCATATTACAAAGAGCCTCTGATGAATTGATCTAAAATCAAATTATGCTGAATTTAAACTTAACAATGTTTCATTCTTCTATACTTTAACTTGATAATCTAGGAGAAAATACACTCATACAAGACCACAATCACAATTATCAAAGGCCCACACAAACTCAAGTTACAGGTTTTGTCACTAGACCAAACCAGCATAATTATAAAAATTAACTGCTTGCAAAATAAAATAAAAATAATAAAAAGAAAGTAGTTATTCTGTAGGATACATCAGGTATGATTCCTTTAATCTTGGCCATCATTCAACTTCATCTTGACCTTTAACTCTTTTAGTGCTTGTCAGAAGGACTTGTCATGAGATGCTTGGTCAAATATGACAGATGGCTTTATCTTTAACTTTGAAAAACAACCTTTTCCCCCTCTGTGGATAAATCGAGGCTTTGTCTCCCATTAGGCTTGTCCTTCTTCCAGCTTTTCTTTATTTTTTCTTTTCCCAAACTCTCCCTTCTCTTCAAGCCTGATCCTTAAGAGGTCTTTGGCTTGTCTACTCGCCTTAAGTGTTGAACTCTACTCTAAAAGTTCTTTCATGCTTTCTCTTTGGGGTCGCCATAACTGTACAGCTTTACATTCTGAGGTAACAACAGAGGACAGCAAATTAGGGGACAATATTAAAGAAGTTTACCTCATTGTTATACAATTTGTTTTCGATCAAGTGATTCAAAATAACAAACAAGATTACTAAACTTTAATTGCTAAGAACAAGAACACATTAACTTTAAATTTGACTTATATCAAAGATGGTAGCAACCATTGTATTCAAATTAAAATCACATTTTATAATCACTGATTTGAATTTCAGCAGCATGGATGGGAATTTAAAGATTTATTTTTGGATTAACTAAGAAATAAGAGCAATGAATTAGAATTTTAAAAGATTTGAAGACATAAGACATTAGAAGACAAAAAGACTATTTTTTAGATGTTACCACTTACATAAAAACTTGAATTTCAAACTTCAACACCCCTCACTAATCCATCTGAAGAAAGGATATTGAACATATGCAAATCCTCGTGGCCGTCGAGTGTAGAAATCAAGTGGAACATAAACATCTACTATTGGACCATAGCGACCAAACTCCCGACGTAAATCTTCAGACCTAAAACATCATGAAATAACTCAAACTTTCTATGTTCACATTCCCGAACATGTTCACATTTTAATTATCACCTTAAGGAATATAAGGATTGTGGTCGAGAATAGCAATATAACCCAAGGCCGACAAGCTTTCTGAGCTACAAATGTGGCACACATCTTTAATCTCAGGACTCAAGAGGCAGAGTTTGAAGCTAACCTGGTTTACAGAACAAGTTCCAGGATAGCCAGGGTTAGTTACATGGAGAAACTCTGTCCTGAAAATCCAAAGACAGACAAGGCATCTGGGGGTAGGGGGGATTATACCATACAAAAGGCAGCCAACCTTTTAACTCCACCACTGTGAAATCAGAGGCAGAAGGATCTGTGAGTTCCAGATAAATCAGGGTCTGTGAGACCCAGCCAAAAAAAAAAAAAAAAAAAAGCCAAACAACTGATACAAAAATAAAGCCCAAGGATGGCAGCTCACCTGTACCTCAAGCACTGAAAAAACTGAGATTAGGAGGATTGTTACAAGTTCAGGAGCATCCTGTTCTACAGTCTGAGCTAGAAAAGTTGAATGTGGAAGGAAAGCATTTTGTAGTGCATGGTTAAGTGTCTCATACCAGTACCCAGGATAGGGATGACTAAGACGGGATAGAGTAGGTTCAAGGCCAAATCATACAGCCTGTATTTGACTGAGACCTCAGGAAGAGAAGGGGGCGGTGCTTATAAGCCTATGACTATTTAAAATTACATCAGTAAACAGTTACAATTTTAAAAACTGGTCTTCGCCGGGCGGTGGTGGCGCACGCCTTTAATCCCAGCACTTGGGGAGGCAGAGGCAGGCAGATTTCTGAGTTTGAGGCCAGCCTGGTCTACAGAGTGAGTTCCAGGACAGCCAGGGCTACACAGAGAAACCCTGTCTCGAAAAACCAAAAAAAAAAAAAAAAAAAAAGTATTGCGTATTTCTGTTTTAAGGCAGGTCTCATTCTAGTTAAGTTGGTTTGGAACTCAAGGCAAGCCTGACTCAGCCCCCTTAAATGCTGGAATTTTTCAGGCTTGGGTCATCACACCCACCTTACCCTAAAATTAATTGTTCAACAGGGTCAGCCACTAAAAATCTGAAATAACAGCACCCCAATATCTACATCCTTCATACATAAGTGTTAAGATGACAAAAAGGGAAATTTAATTAACCACTTTTGTTTTATGAGTAACGACAAGAGGGTATAAAACTCCACGAAACAAAAAGCCTCAGTTTTTCTTCGGAGTTTATTATGTACGAACACGAGGAGTAATCTTGTGATAAAACTCTCTTGCAAAAAATTCCGAAGGCAATTCAAAGCAAGGGAAACGCTGAAAACAAAGCCCTTACCAGGCTGGACTCGAACTCCTAGTCTTCTGAGTGCTGGGACTATGCCCGGAGAAGAGGTGTACTTGGGAAAAAGTACCGCCTCCGTTCATCTAAGTGAATCTTGAAGGTCCTAACCGGAGAGGTTTCGCCAGCACCTCATTTTCAAAGAGACTCCCGCGAAAACACGTGGAATAGTCCATTTGACCGGAAAAATGGTAAATTCCCCAAATCTCAACGACTCCTCTCAGTTACCTATTCACCATCCACACAGATGGGGGAAACAACGCTGCAAACACACCCTCCCCCATCCCGTTATTTGACTCGCATCTTTGCTATCTTCTGACTTGGGAGACAGGGGGCTCACTTCGCAGCCCGAGCTGACCTCCTGCTCGCGCCGATCCTCCCGCCTCGTCTTCCCCGAGCGCTGGCCTGGGCCGCCCCGCCTGGCAACCTTTTCTTTTTCAACAACAAAAATTCCTTTCAGGCCGAGGGGGCGTGCACCTCATGGAACGTGGACGTCGGATCAATGAGAAACAGACGTCCGGCCCGCCAGACTGGACCAGCCACGAGCACGACGGGAGGACGGGCCCCGAGTGCCCGCCACCCGGCCCGCACGCCCGCTCGTCGCCGGCTCGGCCGGGGCCGGCCCTGGGTCCGCCCTCGCTCCCGCAGGCCAGCGGAGGCCGGCGGCGCGGCCTAGAGCCGGCGCGGGCCCCGCCATCTTCGCCCCGCCCCTCCCCCTCGCCGCCGCTCGCCGTGCGCCCGCGGCCTCCCCCGCGCAGTAGCTACTCCGGTGCGCTCACCTGGTGTCGTCCGCCACGTTTCTGACGAACAGAGACGTGTTAGGGGGGCGCAAGTATCGGGACATGACGGCGGCGGGACTCTGGGCCAGCGGCGCTAACGGGCTCGGCAAACCGTCCGCAGCTCCGGCGGCGGCTCACATCCACTCACACACTCGCACAGACCCAGAGGGCTCCGCTACGGCAACTGCCTCTTCTCGCGAGACTTCGCTCCCGCCTCCAGGCCCCCTCCCACCTCCCATCCCACAGCACCGGCAGGGACAACGGCTTTTTCCCGCGAGATCTCTGGGCGTGCGCGTGCGCGCGCCGCAGCCTCGGTCCCGTTCATTGGCTCCAGGCGCGGGCTCTTCCCCTCCCCCTCAGCGGCCCTTTCTTTCTTTAGCGCTTCATTTTCCCGCCCTTTCCTGCCTGGGCGAGCCGGCCGATTCTCCTCTTAGCGGCAAGCGGACGTGTTAAATAAACTACAGCGTCTGGGCTTGGGAGCCTCCGAACTAGCAGAGACTGCTCCGAAATCCTCCGTCCCGAGTCGTGCCCGGGCTTTTATCAGATCTCTGGCCAGCCAGAGGAACTTAGAGATTCTTTGTGGGTTTTGGGGGGAGCATGAGGTGTGCAGAACGCCAGGCCCGTGGCTCCAGAGCTATCGGCGTGCACTGCATGCAAGCATTCTGAGGCCTGGCGCTGCTGTCCTGGTATGGGATCTGTTGCTCACGTGCAAAGTGCCTGGAACCCCTTTCCCAGCTAAATGTATGAAGGCTTTGCGAAAGCCTTGAAGAGGTGGTTTGTCTCTGTTGTTTTCTGGGGATCCGGTCTAGGTCCTTGTATATGCTAGCCAAGTGTCTTAGCACAGACCTGCACCTTAAGACAGACACCGCCCACTCCCCACCCCTCATACTGCTCTTGCTCCATTCTCTCTCCAACTTTCTATCCTCATCATGGGACTCCCCAGGTACATAAATCCTTGGTTGGCTTGTTAGCCTCTCCCCTCTCTCCTCTCCTTCCCTCTCTCTCCCTTCTCCCCATCTCTCCCTTTTTCTGTCCCCCCACCCCTACCCCCAGACAGCTTAGTGATTAAGCTCTCATAGGGTGGATCACAATTCTCAGTAACTCCTGGAATATTGAGAGATGTCTCAAATTTAGGTTTTAGGTGCTCTTCCAGAGGACCTAAATTCAGTTCCTAGCACCCACGTTGGAGGAGGGGGCTCAGTCATTTGTAACTAGTTCCCTCTCCGGCCTCCAAGGGCACCCATAAACATGTGGCCATATAAACCCAGACTTTAAAAAAAACAACAATTTGGAGAGATGGCTCAGTGGTTAAGAGCACTAACTGCTCTTCCAGAGGTCCTGAGTTCAATTCCTAGCAACCACATGGTGGCTCATGACCATCTGTAATGAGGTCTGGTGCCCTCTTCTGGCATATATTCAGGCAGAACATACATAAGTAAATAAATGTAAAAAAAAAAAAACCAACTTCAATTTATCATACAGTCCTGTGACTAAGAGAAATTGAAGTAAATAAAAGCAAAAAACAAAACAAAACAAACAAAAAAAACCGGAAAACCAACCAGCACAGCACACTCAACAAATAAACAAAAAACCAAAAAAATTTTTTAGAGCCAGGCTTGGTGGCACACACCTTTAATCCCAGCACTCTGGAAGCAGAGGCAAGTGGATCTCTGTGAATTCAAGCCCAGCCTGATCTACATAAGCAATTTCTAGAACAGCCAGGGCTACACAGAAATCTTGCCTTAAAACAAACCAAATAAACTGGGTTGTGGGACGCATACCTTTAATCTCAGCACTTTGAGATCAAGGCCAGTGTATCTACAGATGGAGTTCCAGGACAGCCAAGGGCACACAGGGAAACCCTGCCTCAAAACCAAAAAGGAAAAAAGAAAAGGAAGGAAAGGGGAGAAGAAAACAGCACTGTATCTTTTTAAAATATGGGTTATATGAGTTAATATTTACAGAGATCCAGCTCACGAATGAGAGGACACACAACAAGTCTTCACTCCTCTCAATACATCACACAGCTCTGGTAAACACAAGGTCTGAGGAGAGAATGAAAGGGTGACCAAAAAAAAAAAAGCAAGAAGTCCAACACCCCTTGGCCACCTGGCCCTTGGTCACGTTGTACAGTTTACCAAACTGCAGATCTGCCGACAGAGTGGTGTGGAGGAGGACCGGTGGTACCCAGGCCTTCAGGAAAGTACTGCCCGCTGGGATGCAAACCGTCTTCCATTCTTTGTTTCAGTCTTCGCTTTATTGCAAGATGGTATAGTTGATTTGAATGATAGTTTGGTTATTTTGGTTGGGGAATAAGTTGCTGCAAATTGTTTATTCAAAAGTGACTGGAGTGCCGGGCTGCACCTGGGAGGCAGAGGCAGGCAGATTTCTGAGTTCGAGGCCAGCCTGGTCTACAGAGTGAGTTCCAGGACAGCCAGGACTACACAGAGAAACCCTGTCTCAAAAAGCCAAAAAAACCAAAACAAAACAAAAGAAAGTGATTGGAGAGATGGCTCAGCAGTTAAGAGCATTTGCTGCTCTTCCAGAGGAAGGGCCTGAGTTCAGTTCCAACGTACCGGTCCACAGCTGCCTGCAACTCCAGCTCCAGGGGATCCAGCACCCTCTTCTGCCCTCTGCAGGTACCCACACACCCATACCCGCACACGGAAGCTCACATGTACACATTTTTTAAAAAAATCTTTTAAACCTAAAAGCACAGGGAGGATTAGAGGGTTAGAAATGCCTGACTGCCGGGCGGTGGTGGCGCACGCCTTTAATCCCAGCACTTGGGAGGCAGAGGCAGGAGGATTTCTGAGTTCGAGGCCAGCCTGGTCTACAGAGTGAGTTCCAGGACAGCCCGGGCTACACAGAGAAAGCCTGTCTCGAAAAACCAAAAGAAAAAAAAAAAAAAAAAGAAATGCCTGACTGGCTGGCAGATCAACGTAGCCCACTAACTGAACATTTCTTAGGAAAGGCTCTGTAACTTCAGTAGCAACCCAGGAAGATTCTGCCATGTAGGTTAGTCCCATCAGTCAACTGCTTCTGGCTGTCACAATCGAGATAGGTGTATTTACATAACACGCTGCACTGGAGCCTTCTCTGCGAGCACCTTAGGCGTGCAGTGTGCCTGTCAATCATCTTCCTCTCCTGCTGGGTGAAGATGCTCTGTTCCACCAACTTCTTCACCCATCATATCCTGCATAGAAATAAGGGCATTCCAGGCAATTCTTGTTTTACCCCCTTCTATGTATCATCAGATAAGTGACCTCCACGGCCATGGCAATGCCATTTCTCTGTCTAAAGGGGGGAAAAAAGGTAGTGGTGTGTTTGAACCAATAGCCTTTCAATTCCCTTGCATCTGGGATCTGTTTGACGGGTGCCTGCTTTGCTTCTTCTAGCTAGGCAATGTTTTGCTCATTGAATTTATCAATAAGTTCTCCAAACAAAGACATCATGGTTTTTTGTTTGTTTTGTTTGTTTGTTTTTAATTACATGGATAGTTAACTCTGCTATTGATATGGGAAGGATATGGTCTCTAGGTAAGTAATTTCGTATGTGTCTGTGGATAGTAAAAACAAGATAAGCTGGGCATTGTGGAGCATGGCTTTGATACCAGGCATTTGGGAGATAGAGTCAGGAAGATCTCTATGATCGAGGACAGCCTGTTCTATAAGGTTAGCTCCAGGACAGCCAGGGCTACACGTAAAAACACTGTCTTAACAAAACAAAACAAAAATACAACCTAGGTTAAACCTACTTCCACACACCTAGGGCCCCTTACACCATTTTTAGCATTTATGTGTTTGAGTGTTTTGTTTGCATGTATATCTATGTACCATGTGTGTGCCTGGTGCCTTTGGAGGGAAGCCCAGAGTATTGGATCTCCTGGTACTAGAGTTATGGACTGCTTTGATTTGTAAAATATGCACCTCAGTCTCTAGTCCCAAAACAAAGCAATCAGCACTGGCTCCTCTTAGAGTACCTGGGGTAGATTCTCAGTACCTTTAAAGATGGCTTACAACTGTCTGTAACTCCAATGCCTTCCTCTGGCCTTCTGAAGTTACCAGGCATGCAGGCAAGACACCCACCACATGAAATAATAAAAACAGCTGGGCGGTGGTGGTGCACGCCTTTAATCCCAGCACTTGGGAGGCAGAGGCAGGCAGATTTCTGAGTTTGAAGCCAGGCTGGTCTACAGAGTGAGTTCCAGGACAGCCAGGGCTATACAGAGAAACCCTGTCTCGAAAAAAAAAAAAAAAAAAAAAAGAAGAAGAAGAAGAAAAAGAAATAATAAAAACAAGCAAACAAACACACACTTACTTCTCTTGAGTATTGTTCTCAAATCTGTAATGCTAAGACTCATATGTAAGCTGAATACCTACTCATGTTCTTGATTTTGAAATAGTTTCTTCTTGTTTTGTTGGTGACGGCCCAGACATCACAGGCTGAATCCCTGAAGTAGACCCTCAGGGTAATTGTCTCTGCTTTGAGTTGACACAGTGTTGATTTTGTTGGTGGAATTGTTTAATTCAGACCCTTGTCAGTGACTGCTCATGTTGTGTCTCTTTGTGGTGACCAACCAATTAGAAGCGTGTACATTTACTGTGTTTAGTAAGACATACCTGGTGTTTCCTGTGAGTGAGCCTTCTCACTAGCGAGGAGCCAATGAGCCAGTTCCTCACACTGAGGACTCCGTTCTCTTTAGAGATTTCCTACTTGGGAGTTGGAAACTTTGGGTCACCTACCCATATGTCAACTCATAGCCTGTGGCTGCTTTGAGGGCATGTGTACTCATGCATGCACACCCCCATACAGACACACACATAATGAACCCCCACCTTTTTTTTAAGTGCTGTCCTAGAGCAGTGAAAAACATATCTTTCTTTTCTTTCTTTTTTCTTTCTTTCTTTCTTTGCTTCTTTTTCTTTCCTCCCTTTCTCCCTTTCTCCCTCCCTCCCCTCCTCCTCTTCTTCCTCCTCCTCCTCCCTCCTCCTCCCTCTTCCTCCTCCTCCTCCTCCTCCTTCTTCTTCTTCTTCCTCTCTCTCTCTTTCTCTCTCTCTCTCTCTATCTCTCTCTCTCTCTCTCTCTCTCCCTTTCTTTTTTTAGATAGGGTTTCTCTCTGTAGCTTTGGCTGTCCTAGAAGTCACCTCTGTAAACCAGGCTGGCCTCGAACTCACAGAGATCCACCTGCCTCTGCCTCCCCAGTGCTGAGACTAA